TTAATTGCGCGGAAGAAACAGATTGCTAAATTAGATCCATTAAAACTGCTGCAAATCTTCAGTATTAAGGTCATCCATTTGCGAAAACACTGGACACATTCCGTCACTGGATCAGGCAACTCTGGTTTGCGCAATATTCACGAGCGAAGGGCATCCCTGATACATCCGGGTTTGAGCACATCTTCATGGGCGAGGTATCATTAACTTACAATGTTAGACAGTTTGTCACAATTCCGAAAAAAACCCGGCACTCAGGATTCCGGCACTTTGTAAGCGTCGCCTCAGTTAATGTATCTTCCGCTAATTCTAGCGTCTTTTCTGCCAGATTTATCAAATTTAGCAGACGTTACTAAAATAAACTCTCTCACCAGGAGCAGCTGTCTCACTTTTAGTGCTTAGTCCACCTACCGGAAGGCCAACGTCTAAAAAAATCAATGCAAAAAGGAGCTTTAACACAGCTGTTTATTGTTATTCTGGGTTTTCGAGTAATCGTGGGGCCCCTCACCGAATAATCTCTAAAACGCAATCACTCGAGCTGAACTGAGGATGCCTTCTTTTTCTACGTGCGAATCACGAAAAAAATCATGATTTTTTTGCATATTTCCTTTAAAAATTTTAATATGCTTTTGGTATACTTTAATTTTAGTTCAAAAAAGGTGAAGTCAGTGGTATGCACTCATGGCTGCGATTTTTCTTGCTCGAACGGAATGCGTCGCAACAGCTTCATTATCTTGGCTTCAGCACTAGACGAGCTGTAAGCTAAATTTGTTTCGCTTCTTGTTCCGAATAAGCTGCATCAACCAAGACTCTCAAGACGTAATAGAGGACAAAGGCCCATGATTTCTGAAACGGTACTTGGTCGGGCTTAGTGGAAAGTCGTGGAAAACTAGATTCAAATTTTCTAAGTGAATAACACTCAAAAAGGTATTAAGTCTCAAGAAGAAAAGGTATAATGATAGACCTGAGATGAGGAGGAAGGGGAAGAGGAACATGCGAGAAACGAGATTAACTTACTGAGCCATCAGTATCCCCCCGTATTACAGCTGTGAAATGAAATGGATATATATCCCATATGAATACCAAGACCGCTTGGAAAATTGGTGGCATGGTCGGAGATGCATGACATACCATTCACTAGATGCCCCCC